GGAACAGAAAACACCCGGGGAGAAACACACAGGTAATCAGCAGTTTGATGTGGGGCAGCTGAGCAGAGACAGACAGGGGAACATAGAAACACTAGGGAAAACCAAGGCATAAAATGACAAACCATGACACCAGTGAGTACTTTCTGAAAGTTTCACTAAAATTTATCTACTGGCTCATGAGAAATCTGAATAACAGACACGCCCACACAGATAAACACACACAAAAATAAATACTGGCCTTATTCACTTTATGGTGATGTGCAATGTTTTTACAACAGGAAAAAAAATCAACAATACCACTGCCAGGCAATCAGGATGTTTTCTTATAGTTTAACTTTMGTTTAAGGTCTACAAGTGTGTCTTAATATTTTTGCTTTCTATGGTTGTACGCTGTGTGCAGGTCCGTCTGAAATACTGGCAAGAAAGGATGTGACTTCATCAGCCAACAGAGGAATGAAGAGGAAAGCTGTGGCTCAAGGTTTGAAATGTGTCTCCTTCTGTGCACAATGTGTGGTCACATGATGTCCACAAATAACTGAAGCCTTCTCGTCTCAGTCCCATGACTGAGTCTGGTAGTCAGCACATGCATTGTGTTTTTGTTACACACAAGGTTTTACTAAACTAAGCATGTTTTTATTTTCAGACTCCATGCTCCAGACACCAGCTAAACAACGGAAGACTAAAACTGACCCTGCTGAGCAGGAGCAGACTCAGTGCAAAGAGGAGCAGGAGCACATCCCAATAATAAAGATCAAATCTGTTTGTTCAATGGCCCCTCTTGATCTAACCCCACATACACAGGTAATATCAATGACCTACACCACTCACTACTGATATACAGTCCCCTTCATTGGAACAGCAAGTCAAGTTCCCTTGTTTTTGTTCTTCACTAAAGACATTTGGGTTTAAGATCAGAAGATGAGCACGAGACAAGCATTCTGAATGTCAGCTTTTATTTCCTGGTTTTTACATGTAGATGGGTTAAACAACTGAGGATATATCACAATTTGTATTACACCTAGGGTTGGGCAATATTGGTAAAAAAAAATTAATCACGATTAATTGTGGTATTTAGCCGATAACGATTAATTTGACGATTAATCCCCTGGAGTCCCTGGACACCCTTATGTCCTGGTCACATGAC